ACTGTGGTCGGAAAATCCGATGACGCGAAAGAATCTGTTGACGGTTTTATTGAAGATCATGTAAGGAAAGCCAACGAGAGAGCATGAGAAAGAGTAGGCCTCAAGCAGAAGATGGTGATAAGAAGAAACATTAATGAAGGGGTCTGATTTTATAAAATCTTTCTGAATGTTTAATAGTCGGAATAATTGAATAAAATGAAGTTTTTGTTTTCCCTGTACGTGAACCATTCAAGCTTACTCTTTCGAATGTTGGAATTTTGAGTGCTGAGAATGCCTATGAAAGCAAAGGTTTTGAATAGTAAGAAACAGAAACTTGTTTTGATAAAATTGTAAGTGCATAATTTATAGTCAGAGTCACGTGGACAATGTTACGTGTCTTTAAAATATAGTTAGATTTTTCATTCATCTTTTTTCCTTTACATCATTTCGGTCACTTTTGGCTGTAATGTTACGTGTCTTTAAAATATAGTTAACTTTTTAAATCGTAGCGAATTTACAAGACTTTGGGGGTTGAAAGACAAAATGATCATTTAACTTTTAATTAACTAAGAAAGGAAATTTGCATCGAAGTATCAAAATTTTCAAGAATGTGCAGCCAGCTGTCCTAAATTTATTGTGTTGAATGGACCTCTAAAGATTTATAAAATCTGTGTGCAGACATTATGATATGCTTAAAAATGGCAGTAACAAATTAAAAGTGGAATTCTTCCATATAAATCATCAGTAACAATTTACACTGACATTTCAGTGTGTTTAGTTATTTAGAGCACAAACTACTTTAACAAAGTGTGCCATAACAAGATATACTTTAAACATCCTGTAAAACAGAAGCATAGTTAAAAGTTTTAAGGAAAACATGGTTATCAAAAGGGTTTTGCCATTTGTACTCTGGCGTTTACATGCCCAGGTACATGACCTCACCTCCCCCCTCACAATGAGGGGGCCTGCCCATGAATAAAATAATGGGCAGGCTCCCCAATGGGCGTGGGGTCGGGTACACAGTCGTGTAAACGGCCGTGTACCCGTAGCAGAACTCTTACCAAAATAACAAAGTATCATAACTAAAACCATTCAAGTATTAATCTAGTTAAAACTAACGAACTAGCTTCTCATGGATGATTAGGCACAAAAACTTTCTTGTAGAAAATCACCTAAAAATCCATCGACTAGTCTCATTTTATGAAAATTGTTGACCCGTTGTCGGTTTCATCGATTTAAATTCCCGAAAACCTGTCCGAAAATTCATCCTTTGATTTTGTTTGTAGATTTATTTATTTTTTAAATGGTCGAATGGATCCCGGTTCCATTTTGACCTTGATCTTTTCCCTTTTTGGGCCTATGCTCGGGTTGACTTTTAAAACATTGGTTAAAACAATATATTTATTTATTTACGAGATGTAATTCAAAATACATATTTGACATAAAGAAATAAATAACGTTAGACGAGTCTCAATATAGCATTGCGTACTAGACATGCATCAACATCACAATAGGGCATGTTTGAATCTTATTTTTTGTGTAGAATATATTTTGGAATAATAGATTGATGGAGAATGTATAGTTAAAAATGAAGCAAAAGTTTTCGAATTGTGTGTAATATTATTTTTTTGAATAATCCATGATTAAAAAAAAGAGCGAAAAATGCATTTTAAAAAAAGAATGGGATCAGACGAGGGCATATATTTTTTTTAGACAGGACTTTGTCGTACGTATTAAGTAAGAGGATATTATTGTATTCGAATTACCGAGAGTGGCCTGGTGGGCGTCCAACTGACCCCAAAATTGATGCCAAAAGAATATTGTAATAATAAAAAATATAAAAGAATGAAGTGTGAGAATAAATGTGGGATGAGGACAGTGGCAAGTACCAATATATCGCTATAGACAAAGACAAAAGCCAAATCTGATACAACAACCACTTAGTCTACTGCCCAACCACCGTGCCGAGCTGCACTTCGCCGCCACCTTGCAAGCCAGAAATCTCCTTCTTACTTGTCCACACACCACATAAATATGTTTATCTCCTGGTACTAGATTTTGTAATATATACACACAAGAAAAGAAAATATGGAGGAAGGGAGAGGAGGACAGGGTGATACGAATCAGCAGCAAGATCACCGCCGTTTGCAGCCGCCTGATCAGGGTCAAGTGCGTCAAAATCATAATCAACTGGCGCCTCCGCATCCGCCACTTCCACAAAAGTGCCCACGGTGTGATTCTGTGAACATCAAATTTTGCTATTATAACAACTACAGCCTCTCTCAACCCCGATACTATTGCAAGAGTTGCAGAAGGTACTGGACTCAGGGAGGAACCTTGAGAAATGTACCCATCGGAGGTGGATGCCGGAGGAAGGGTAAGCGACCCAAAACCTCAACGTCTTCAAATGATAGTGAGATTTCAAGAACTCAACCTCTAACACTACCACTTCCATCACAAATGCATGTGTCACAGAATTTAACTACTATGGCTGCTCTGATTTCGGGTAATTCTGGGTTATTACCCGTTAATCAATCCTCGAGGAGTTTGCCGCCGGTGATTTCACCAATAGGTTCTTTCTATTCTGGTGGTTCTTTTTTGTCCATGCAACCAGTCAACATGGGTGACGTCCCTGGCGGCCTACTTGGTGGTGCAAAAAGGGCAGATTTCCCAGGGATAAATTTTCCATCTGTGGACTCTCAATCGTCACAATTCCAACTGCAGAACGAATTAGTTCCAGCGCAGAGGACATTGGAATCTTGGACTCAAATCTTCGTCAACAACAGCGCCACCTCTTCAGCCCCAAGCCCTAATTTCTGGAATAACGCCACTTCTGGCAGCGACGGAGGTGGGTCATCCATCAACCCAAATTCATGGCCTGATCAGTGATCAATGCTAAAACTTGTAGAATTTTTCTTTGCTCCTTCTGCATACAAATCTCTTTATCTCTGCTTTTTATTATCTCCTTTTTGTGATTGAATATTGGGTTTTCGGGTATATGATTTTGGTTTCACCGTGAAAACTTGAAAAATTATTTGTGTCCAACTTTTGATCGACTTATTTTATTTATGTCTTTTGCTAATTATATTCCTTTCGATTCAAAAGACAGAATTATTTTCAGTTGCTCGTACAAAAGTAAGAAACTTGTTTAATTAATTAAGATTTGTACAATGTAAAAAGCCTAAAAATTAGACTGACATAATAACGTGCATGACTGGCAAAATTGTATTAATTGACAACAAATTGCTTAGTTATGCTATATGTACAAAGTTGGTTGACAAAATAATATATACACTAATCATTTTAAAAGCAGATTTTTAAATCATTTGAAATCAACTGTCTGAATTTTGTCAACACATTTTGTAACCCAAATTTGTACAAATAGCTTTATTGATAAATTGCATGCCCCTTGGATTAACAAATAGGAAAAAAAAAAAATACAATAAATGCTCTAATTAAGTTAGATAAAGAGGTTTGTACTATTGATATGGATAAAGTTCTATTTGAAATTAACATCAAACTAAGTAAAACTATTTTAAATTCATTAGCGTACATTCAATTAGTTGTTCCCTTTAAGTTAGAAAGTTATTGTCGTAGTTGATATTTGAACCATGCACATGTATGATGTGCTATATTTCATAAAGTGATTTGTATTAACAATCCCAAATTTTCAGAAATAAATTTTGTAATTGTTTTTTTTGAGAATTTATGGTTGAAAAAAATCGAATTTATGTGTAAAATTATTTTATTAAAAGAATATTCTGATCTGACAAGTTGTAAGCGTGCTTGAAAAATTTTGGTGCGAGCATTCATCGTAAGTGATTTTGGTCTGTGAGGAGGATATAGTGGCCACCATAACCATTGCGAGAAGTCAAACCTAATCCACATTCATAATTAAACTATTTATTTAGTAGTGATCTTTTAATTTGACATTATTAATTCACAGTCAGCACTGTATTTATTATATTTGGGCATATGAGAAGAAATATTTAAGTGGATAAAAGTAAAGAAAATAGAGAGAGAAAAATCCATCTATTATGAACCATTGAGGATTATATTTAAATAATTTACATATGAAAATCTCGATCGACTTAAAACATCTAATAAATTCTCAACAAGGTATCAAAGATTCAAAGCAAACATATATCTTGAATTCAAGTTTCGCTGCTACTCATTCAGTGAAATTGTGCACATCTCAAGTTTGACAAGGAAAAATAAATCATACTTACACACCATTGAGGATATTGAATATTTTAATTTGAAAATATTAATTCACAGTCAGCACTGGGCATATGAGAAGAAATATTTTAAGAGGATAAAAGTAAAGAAAATAGAGAGAGAAATTACTTTATTCATGGAAGAAACTAAAATCCATCATATGACAATCTCTATAAATTTAAAATATTAGATAAATGGTTCAATATGATATCAACGATTCAAATTGTGCACACTCAAGTTCGATAAGAAAAAAATGATTCATACTTACACACCAATGAGGTTATTTACATAATATTTAATATACATGTGATCATCTTTAAAAAATCAAATTATTAGATCATGGTTTAACGCATGCTTAACATTTTTCAATTCTACATTTTGGGCCCGTTTGGACAAGATTTTAATCTGATTTTAATTTTAAGTCAAACAATCAATATCAATCACATCTTTCATGGGTCTCACATCTTTTCAACCGCACATTTCAAAAATTTTTATCACAATCCACTTAAAATCTGATTTTAATTTACACCAAACACCCTCTTATAGTCGACCTTGAGGACAAATGGTCACTCACCTTTGAGTCATATATAAGTATTCTCGTTATAGAAGAGCCCACTGAGTATTCTTTACATTCTTAGAGCATATCCAGTTTACCAATGTGTGTTGTCATACGTATGGCGAGTAAAATAGATGAGGGAGAGAAGGGCACCTTCAAGGCGATTGTAGATTACACTAATTATGTTAGACATCCTTCAAAGATGGAAGGTGTGGTCGACATTCTTCATATTTTTTCTTATAATATAAGTGTTTTGGAGTCATATGACACGTTTTTTAGTGCAAATCAGTCCATTGAAGATTGTATATCTTAACTTGTACTCTCAACTTTAAATGGGGGAAGAAATCTAACGATGCTGCACCACCAAGACAAAGTAAATTAATAATGATATTATTTTATATATGTTGGCACTTTACTTCTCCTTCGCCTTTTGTAACGGATTGGTGACAAGTGCATAGAGGGAACTATCCAGTGTTTGCCTTTAACGCCACAACTAATGTATACATGATTTTGACACTTCCCTATTATTCCATCGCATGCACGAAATTGGGTCCCACGTCTCGGTTGCCATTGGTCTTCAATTTAAAACATCATTTGGTCAATGGGTCTACTGTTTGAATAATTATGGTAATTGATTGTATTTCATTGGCCAATCACAGAGAACCGTCTCACTGCACTTGGTTACTTTCTACTGGTGTTGTGCTGTGCCTATAATTGAGTGTACATATTCACGAGTCATTCTAATAATTTTGTGAATTATTTTTTACTCTAATGCTTATGAGAAACTTTGCACTGAGTTTTAGATTTAGATGTAATCTTTATCTTCACCTATTGCCCTGTTTGGTAGAGATTAAAATCAAACTTTTAGTAGATTTTGATAAAAGTTAATGAAATGTATGGTTGAAAAGTTATGAAACTCATAAAATGTATTATTAAAATTAATTGTTGACTTTGATTTGAGATTTTAATCCAAACCAAACTGGGTTTATATTTATATCTGGGGTTACATAATGAATTACATAATGACACGTGGCATTCTACCATTTGTCGGTCTAAAATACAATTATCTTTTTCATTCACATCATATTATGTAACCCCTTATATACAATTTTGATGTAAAAGTAACACAATTTTATATTTTTTTAGGGTTGTGCTATTGTACCCATAGGTGAGGGTGCCTGTTGCCGTCAGACATCCGCCCAATATGGGGAATGAACACCTGTATGGGTACACCTTTATGTACCCATAGCATTTTCCATTTTTTTAATAATATTAATCTCGCAAATCATTATGTGATTTCACTAGTTTGTCTAGGCTGTGGTTTCTTTGTTGGGCAGTCCTAGAATTAGAGGACAAGACAATCCATCATTTTCCTTCCAAATGCGCGTATAGTTGTGTTGGGGAAAAATAACAGCAGTAAAATGTAATCTAAACCACCCCTATAAAATTGGTTCATAGTAAAGAATTTAAATGGTTCTTCAACATGCCTATCAATTGAAGGGCAATCGATTTTTTTCTCGTACTTGCAAAATTTTCATAAATAAATGAATTGAGAAATTCTGTGTAATCTGAGCTTGCTTGGAGAAGGGTGTGAATAAATTTATTAATTAAAACTGTGCCCCACATGTTGTGTTAGTGCTAATTGAGAGGCAACTGGGTAGCCCCATTGACAAATATCAGCCTGTCATGTTCAAGAACTTTGTAGTTAAGAATGAAAGAAGAAAGGAAATTGCATTTACAAAATGATTTGATTCCATTAATTAAAAGTGGAAGAAATGGAGAATAATTTTTCATACTGTACTTAGGCAGAATAGTGGGAAACGTTTTTCACTAGTCTACTTTTCTGGCAAAAATAAATTGTATTTCTCACTAAAAAAATTGTAAAATCTTGCAAAATGATTATAGTACCTTTTATTAATGTTCTTTAGACAAATGTAGGAAAGTTGACCAGTACGAATAAAATATCTAAATTAATTTGATACTCTAGTTAACTTTTTTCAATTTTAGTAGTTCAAAAATAATTGAACTTTCAGTGGCGTTACGGAACTTTAAATATTGTTGAAATAATACAGAACTTTGTCAAAATGCTCCGTAAAAATATCGTACATGGTTTGGACGGAACTACTTTCGTGATAGACACAACACACACGTGACACAAATTTTCACATAATTCTCCCCCCTAGTGATATTGGATTGAGAGCATTTTGACAAAGTGTTTCAGCAATATTTTTAAAGTTTAGTGAGGTCTCCGTTACTCGAATCGAAGTTCAATTATTTTTGAATAATAACCGTTACATCTCTTTAGTTGGAATGGTTATTGGCAAGAATCCGTACAATAAAAATCTGAATGATCTTCAATTTTATAGCAGTATAACTGATACTAGACTTCGATATCAATTCTCATGATGAATTCTATCGTGATTCTATATAGTCCTGTTAGTAGACCAAGACATTTTATCTAATACCATTTAGAGCTTGTTTGGTACAAATTAAAATCAGATTTTAATCTAAGTCAAAGTCAAACAATCAATATTAACCAAAGTTCCACAACTTTTCAACCACACATTTCAAAAATTTCTATCAAAATCTACATACATCTTTGCCAAACTTTCTCAAGAATTATCACCAAGGTGAACAAAATTAAAGTTAACAAGATTTACGCATGAATAACCAAATAAACTTTGAGCCCAGTAACCAAAATAACATCACTTCTATACCAATATACCCAAATCCTTGTCCCCTATGCTAACAGTAAAAAAAAAAAAATGATTCCTATTTTGAGACTAATCTTCCAAGTAAAATCCCCAGCCCAAAACCTAATGCACATATCCTCAAAAAACATCAAGAAAAGCATTGTCATGCATAAATATTTACACACATATAGATATAAAATCGACCCAGTACTGGAACAGGAATTTTCATCCAGCTAACCTTCCAATGACAATGTTGATGATGAAACCTTTGTGAATGAAATGAAGATCTGGATCCGAGGTTCCTCTCAGCGCAAATGGATTATTCTCAACCTTTATAGTTAAAATGAACAGGCTGAATCTTCTTGCAGCTGACATGATCGCTCGATCCAAACTCCTCTCATCAATTTCTCCAAACTGAAATT